ATAGTTCGATTTAGTTTCTCCATCCACTATTATTTTATCATTTTTCAAAAGTTATTTTATTTAAATTATTTGTCATTTTGAGAAAATTAAAGAGTATTAATTAATTTTTTTTAATAGACGTATTATCTTTATTAAAAACAATAATTATTTTCATAATTTTCTATAACTCACTTTTTTTTCTCTTAATTTTAGTAGTAGGTTAATAAAGAAAAAATTATTAAAATTGAAGTAATTATGTAAGATAAATAATAATTTAGTCAAATCAAATAATATTTTATTATAATTTAAGTGATTTAATTATTTAATTATTATAAAATAAATAACTTACAGAGAGAAGAGACTAATTTAAAAGAAAAAATAAAAGCTTGTAATTAGTAAAATTAAATAGATGTCAATAAGGTGCAGTCTTATTGATCTTTCTACTTCTTGTAGAAAATATAGAGAGTAAGAGGTCTTGAGTTCCCGTCATTTTCATCACAAAATTTATCATCAATTTGGTGAATGTTATTCAATAGGGAAGACTGCCTCTATTATATAGCTCACAATGTTATTTCGGTCCGTTGGACTTCTTATGTATAAAAAAAATATAATTAAAAAGATGATAATGAAGTTTTTTTGTATAAATTATCGGTTTCTAGATCATATTATTAACGACTGTCTAATCCGGCTCGAAATTTAGTTATAATTAACATTTTTCGCCCTTCTCTGTAAGTGCATTTATTCGAGAACAAATTTAAAAGCTCTCCTCATATGTGCAGTCTGCGTTATCAACCCGTAGCTATAACTTAGCTCCCTTTGGCATGGCATATTTGTAAAATTTGCATCGTCTTTTTGGTTTTGATGGGTTTGGCAAGCGTGCAATGTGTTACACGTCATCGATACAAATGTTCTCGTCACCAAATTGGATAAAAATAAAGCGAATGTCAAAAGACCGGATCCACTGCGATTTCACACCCAAATGCAATCCTTCCATACGCGGAAAGAAAATAATTATTTTGCCTATTTTAAAAAAATACAAAGTCAAAAAATAATTATTTTGCATTTTTATAAAAAATATAAAGTAAAGGAAAAATAATTATTTTTTATTCAAAAAATAAAAAATAAGAAATAAAGAAAAATAACACTTATTTTTCATCTAAAATTTTCTGAGAATTGGAGGTAAATAGAAATATTTTGTTTTTATCAGCAACGATTTTTTCTTTTATTATTATTATTATTAGCCAGGAATAAGTTTTGTTAATAAACTACTGAAGAAAAAATAATTTTATTTTTGTCTAAATCCAAGCACAGATAATTTTTTTAAAGAAATTATTTTCATTGTATTTTCCTTTTTTATTTTCTTCACTCAAATATACTAATGTTAGGTGTTACGTGTACAATTTTTCTTGTTTGAAAAGAAAATGAGAAATAAGGACAAAAAAAGGAGAATAATGTTCATTTTCTTCCCAAAATTTCATGGAAAGAAAATGAGAAAAAAGAAAAAGAAGAAAAAGTTAAATTTATTTTCTTCCTTTTTTTTTCTCATTTTTCTTAATTTTTATGTTTTTTATCAAATAAATTATAGATCTTTGTTTCTATTTATCAGAGATCTATATTATTTATGTTTTCTATATGGTTTTTCTCCATTTTTGTTTAACTAGGATTTTTTAATAGATCTTTGTTTAATTATGATTTTTTATTAGATCAGTGAATGTTGCAATTAAATATAGAAATCAACCTATTTATTTAAAGAGTATTAATTTCTTATAAACGTATTAGATAAACGTTGCAATCAAATATAGAAAAATCAATTTGTACTTGATAATTAAATGAAAAAATTAATTTTATTAATTAATTGTCTATAGCTTTTGTCATAAACAGCATGTTTTGTTTCTATATAACTAATTATCCATTAGATAATTACACTTTTTTTTCCTAAAATACAATACGGTAACAAATATAAGACTCCATTATTTTCCAACAAACACTTATTCATAACTTATTTTCTATTGTTTAATTAAAATATTGAAAATTAGTTAATGATTTAAAACTCATCATTTAAACAGTAAAAAGATTAATTACCAATTCTAAAGCAATAAGTCTTCGATGTATTATTTATAGCGAATCCAAAAATTATTTACAGTGTAATTCAAACAAATTGATCAAAGAAAATTAAATTTGTTTGACAATGTAAATAAATTTTTTGTTGATTTTTGTCTAGAGAAAGTAAACATATATATAGTAATATCATGATATGGCAAAATATTCACATAATGATTCTAATTTCCATGTAAGATTGGACAAAAAATTTCAATTAGGATTGATAATAATATTTAATTTTAAGATTTATGAAACATAATTTAATTTTATATCACGTTTAGTAATATATGTAATATGTATAATATCAATGTCCATAATTTAAATTGTGTTTTGATTTATTATATTCTTTACATTTGTCAAAATTTAAAATATAATTCTTTATATTTGTCCAAACCTTTATATTACTATCAATATAATTACATATATAATTCTTGAACAAATTTTTAATTAAATTAGTTATTCTACTACTCAATCAACTTCATAAATTAAAATTATAATTACGATTTTAGTAATTTATTTTTGTTTTTTGCATATTCACAGAAAATTCTAAAAGAGGAGGTTTTATTATAATCCCAAAATTATGTGATATATAAAATTTACTTTTTCTAAAAATTAATTAAAATTTAAATTGGCTAAATGATTTATTGCACTATAAATTTTAGGTTTTATTACAATTTCACTCTATGACTATTATGCCAATTTTACTCTGCATTTTAGTCTTCTGTTATAAAAAGTATTCCAAACTGCAATTAGTGCAAATAGAAAACACATTACTTTTGGATTCACTCTTGACTATAAACTTGAGTTAACTTAATACATTTGTGTGATTAGAAACTTGATTTAATAATAATGAAAATCTTTATTATCATTTTTTTTATATTTTGAATAATTCGTTCAGTTGATAATAAATGTATAATAAGTAATAAATAAAAATGTATTATTTAATATATAGACGACTTTTTTATATAAAATAGAATACTTCTTAAACAATAAACCAATAATTATTATTATTTCAATTTTAATTTTAATTTTTAAATAATTTATAAATTCTAAAGAATAAAGTTAGAAAAAAAATCAACTACTATGAAATTATTTGACTCATAAACTAATAGAAATTGTTAATGATTTTTTTTTAGCAAAATAGAATGTAAGATATAATTACAATCAATTATAATTTATAATTTTAAAAAGAAAAAATATATTTATTCAATATATTTATTTCAAAAAGAAGCTTAGATTAAGTTTATCCACGGTCGAGAGTGAACCCGTATTGATTTATTTTTTATTTAAAATTTAAGTTATAAATATATATCAGAGTATTAGCCACAACAAAATATCAAAATGCAGAATGAAGTTACATAAAAAAAAAAAAAAGTAAAATTATAAAACAACGTACAACTTAGAATGAAAAAAATGCATTAAGTCAATTTTAATTAGCTAGTATTCATGTTACAATATTTTTTCTTTCATGTCACAATGTGTGTGTATATATATTAGTTTTCTTACGAGTAATTTCTCCCAAAATATATTCATATATGTTTTTTTTTGTGTAAACCACTGGTATTCAGTCTACCAGGAACTATCTAATCCGGCTCGGGGTTTAGTTACAGTTAAGGTTTTTCGTCTCTCCCTGCAGGTGAGTTTAACGGGAACTCAACCCGAAAACTCTTCCCACATATCTAGTTTGTGTTGTCAACTGAACCATAACTTACATATATATATATAGTCATTTTTTAGTAAATTATTTATTATTTAGTTTCTTAATATTTTCATATTTAATGTATATCTATTATTCCTAATTATATATACATCATTTAATATCAATAGAAAGATATTTTGGGAAAAAATTAAATAAAAAATATAACGCAATTATATTAATTAGTTTTCTTAATCTATTTAAAAGTCATACATATATGTGACAGAGGATGTACATCATATAATTATTAATTTATCTAACTAAATTTAGTTTTTTCTGGTACATTGAAATTAAAATGAATATCAAAATTCAGCTTTTCCAACTTAGATAATAATATCATGCACCTACTTATTACTTAACAATTTAAGTTACAAAATATCCAATCATTAAACTATTATACCATTTCCAAAAATGCATTCAAATCACGAAAATTTGATTGACCACTTCAACAAATCAAAATTCAAAACTACAATAATAACAAACCCAAATTTTTCTTAATTAGAAAAAAAATGCATATTATATATATATATATAAGAAAACGTAGAAATCTTCTAGAGAAAATCAGTTTGGAACCTCCGATGATGATGATGAGCGTGACAACAATCTATCATCATCATTATGAATTATTTATCTATATTTTACAATGAAAAGATTAATAGCAAATATATATATTTAAAGCCTTAAATTTATCAAATTTTACATATTCAGCCCTCAAACTTTTAATATTTATTTATATTAAACATTTTAACTTGTATTTTTTATCTTATATATTTAACTAAAAGTTAGAGTGATAATCACGCATGTTATTTAAGAAGGCTTGATCAAAGTATTAAGCCTTTGACTTTTCTTTTATTAAAATTAAGCCTCTGAATTTATATTTTTATTGAAATGAAGTCCTTATTTTGATTTGTGATATTGTGATTTAAATATTATCATTTACTTTCAATTAATTTAGGACTTAATTTTTATTTAAATAAAAGTGAACGGACTCAATATTAATAAATAAAAATTCAGAGGTTTAACGGACAAAAACTTTGGATAAGTTTAGAAAACTTAAATAGGAGTTTTGGCAAATTAACTAAATAGGATTAACTTTACATTTCATAAACGGTGGCGTTAGGAGCTAACGCCTCGGACTTCGAATTTTCGAAATTAAAAAATTCCAAGATTTAAAAATGAAAATTCTAAAAAATAATAATTTCTGCATCTATAAATACGAGGCTTTTCTCAGTCCACTTTCTTCCATCGTCAAACGTTCATTTGCTCAAAAATTAAAATCAAACTTACCACCCACTCGTAAAACAGAACTATTACCATTTGCTTTGCTCTGCTTCAATGGCTACCAAAGTATATATCGTGTATGTTTCTCTCTCTATCTCTACTTCCCTCTCTCTCTCTATATATATAAACTTGCATACGCGTATTACATACTGTGAATATGTATAATTCTCGTCAGTGATCTTTGATTTATCTTTTTGATTGAATTTTCTTATGGTTTATATTTGATTTTTTTTGAGTTAAGTTTTCTTTTCGATTTTGTGATCTTCTTTGTTTAATTTGTGAATTTCTTTCTCTTTTTATGTTTAAGGTGAGTTTTCTTTCTGTTTTTGAATGTTGCTTTTAGTTGATCCATTTTGCTGTTTATTTTCGTAAATTTTGTGTTTTTTTGTTTTGATAATTAACTGTTTGATAACTTGCTGTTTTGGATGGCGAAAAAATGTAGAGAATTTGGGAGGTAGAAAATGAGTTCTAGTTGTATGTTCTGGTAATTCCTTTAATTTCAATGAGTTCGTTGCTAAGAAGTAAATCCAGCTCATATTAGGTGTCATGTGATGCATATACTCCATATTGTGCACTCGGTACATATTTTACTGGACATAAAATTGTTAAATTTTCATTTTGAGGCAGTTCTGCAGTGGAAAAATGCTATATATGCAGTTTTAAAGACCACAACTTTATGTAGTTAGTTTAGTTAGATCTCTAAAACAGAATACCTAACCATAAGCACAGCCTTGTCTTGTTGTCAATGGACGGTTGGATTATTTTAAGAAAAATTATGTTTTTATTGGATTATTATAATGCAAGGATAATCAAACTTCTGGAAAAAATAAGATGTGATATATGTGTAGATCAATCAGAAATTAGATGTGTTTGACAATCAAAATTCTGCTCGACTTTATTCTTAGTTTAGGCATTTGAAGATTCGTGAATCTACCTTGGTCAAACACGAGACTGGGGATATAGGTATTATTTCATAATTTGTTATATGGATGTTTTAAATTGTCAACATGTTAACAGGATGATTGCCCTCTGGTACTGCGAATAGTCAAGTGTTCTGTGCATCAAATTATTTTTTTAAGCCTGATATTGACTATAATCGTTTCACATTGATTATCAGAGTGGTCAATGATTTGATTATCCCTCCTAGATTGCTCATTTCCATGATCTTGCTGGCATTATGTCCACTCTTAGCTGTTATGAATTACCAGTACATTCTCATATGTCCAGAGGTTCACATGTGCCTATTGTTCTATGCCCCAGTTTGGTCTGTTTGAAAGAGGACATTTGATGAGCTTATTGCCTGCGGACATTGGACTTGGTTGCTGATAGAATACCTAATAGTGAACTTTGTTCATTATGTGTCTCCTTTATTCTGCTGATTTAGAGCTAGGAAGAATAAGAATAGATACCGGATGTAGAAATAATGTGACTGACAATGGTGCTATGCAACTTCCTGTAGATTAGGATAGGAGCGGTGATGTTATCTGAATAAGATTATAAATGTTGATATGCAAATGCATGCATTTTATTCATTTATATCCCAGAAGTATGATTGTGCCCTTTGTCTTTATATGGCTCTTTTATTGCTGTTTCAGGTACTATTCCATGTATGGACATGTAGAGACACTGGCAGAAGAGATCAAGAAGGGTGCTACATCTGTTGAAGGTGTTGAGGCCAAATTATGGCAGGTGAGAAATTGCATTCAGCATTGTTGTATAGACTGCAGATGTTCTGTTCAAGTTTCAAGTTCCATACTGTGCCTTTCACAGTACTCAATTTGCTAGTTATTACACGCAGTAAATATTTTACAGGTATCACAAATATTCTGTTGAAAAGCTTAAAGAATGTAAAAATGTTTCTGAATTTAGTTAGTAAATTCACTAGGCTGTTTCACTGGTTTTTCAGATTCCATAGTCTATGCTTTATCCCAACTGACATAGGGATAATTGCAAAGTTTGTTTTAAATTGAGTTTGCTTTGTAGAATTTTTCTTGATTCTTAATTAGCTAACCTGCTGTCATAGAATCATTTCTATTCAATATTCTTTGAAATTCCTAATTTAAATGCATTACTGCAGCTACTGACCATAGTTTTGTATGCTCATTTGTTTTGAGCTATGAATTACGGTACTTACAGCTGATAAGTAGCAAATGGATTTGAAAGAAGCCTGCAATTTCTTGGCTTCTCTTTAAAAATAGAGGCTTTTATATGAGAAATTTACATGCTGAATTTCTGACCATTAAACTGATCTAGTTGATCTGTGGACCAGGTTCCTGAGACCCTGCCAGAAGAGGTTCTTGGAAAGATGAGTGCACCACCAAAGAGTGATGTACCGATCATTACACCAAATGAACTTCCCGAGGCTGATGGATTTGTCTTTGGCTTCCCGACAAGATTCGGAATGATGGCTGCCCAATTTAAAGCATTTCTAGATGCAACAGGTGGTTTATGGAGAACACAGCAACTTGCAGGCAAACCTGCTGGAATCTTCTATAGCACAGGATCTCAAGGTGGTGGACAAGAGACTACAGCGTAAGCCTCTAGGGCACTGTTACTTAAGTTGGCGTAACTTAAATGTAAGAAACAGAAAATAGTCATTTTCTGATGCAAATTTTGAAATTGACACAGGTTGACTGCCATCACCCAGCTTGTTCACCATGGACTGATATTTGTACCCATTGGTTACACCTTCGGTGCTGGCATGTTTGAGATGGAGAAAGTAAAAGGTGGAAGTCCTTATGGTGCAGGAACTTTCGCAGGAGATGGATCCAGGCAACCCACTAAGCTTGAGTTGGAGCAGGCTTACCACCAGGGAAAGTACATTGCTACCATCACAAAGAAGCTCAAGGGAACAGTTTAATTTCATTTGATTACAGAATTATAGTTCTTCGCCCTTACATTTTTCTACTCCAAAGATTATGGTTTTGTGAGCAATAATTATTTCTTTGTTGGTTATATGTTTTATATGTGTGATGCATAGTGGTGCCATATTGCTTTCTGTCAATGGTAAAAGGTTGTTTGCTTCTTTATTTATAAAATGTTTCTCCGCTTCGCTTGATGAATTATAAGATACCGTACTTTCTCCATTTTTCATATTTCTGGGTTTCCGCTTTATGAATTTATTGAATGTTGAAGTGCATTATTCGCAATGGTTCTCTATTCCTGAAATACATGGAATTTGACAATTGCACTTGGAACTAAAGTTGATTTCCACAAAATTTTAGGGGAAAAGAATTCCATCCGAATTAACCTAAACCACTTGTTAGACAGCATATGATTCATAGGGTCATCGATACTTTTCATTGAAGTTTCCTCTTCGTGACATATTAGATCAGAATTAGGTGGAATTTGATTTGTAAATTTTGCACCTGTTATTTGTAAGTTTCACTTTTAAGACCACCTGCCCAATAACAGAACATGACAAAAACTATTGTCCAAAAATAAGTAAAAGACTATTATGCTTCACATATAAGGTGATGAGAAATGGAAAATGCTGCCAGTAGCTGTAACTTGTCAGCATTCAATTGTCTTATACATGCACCTGATTTCTGTGTAAAGGCACTCAAATGATTGTAACTTAACGAACAAACAAACTTACAAATTCTCTCCACTGACATTGAAGTCATTCCTACAATTATATGGTTAAGTCTAAATTTAAAAACAAAAAACTCTTATTTATTTTGAAAATTTAGAAAAGTTAGATTTTTTTAACCCAATGAAAACATTTAAGTTCCCAGCAGAATGCGAGTAAGATTAAACTTAACGGATCGAGAAGGTAGACGATTTCAATTTAAAAAAAAAAAAAAAAGAAACCAAACCTTTCACTAATTGTTACTTCTAATTTTGGCTCTGTTTTTATTTCTTGTGGGATTGAGCAAATAAAAGGATTTGGCTCCTTTACAATCAATGAACTTTGAATTGTTGCAATCAGACAGCTGTTACCAAAATAACTCATCAAAACTTTTTTTTTTCTCTCTCAATCATTTTGTCAAGAACCTATGGGTTTGTCATGTGCATTTATCCCCTTCAATTTTATGCACCTAAATACCTTAGAGCTAGCCTTTCTTTATTTTTGATCTGCCGAAATATGCTTGCTTTGCTTTCTTGATTTGGTTTTGCAGTAATCAAATTTTCAGGGTATTCTCAAGATAGTAAAGAGAGCTTCCTACCAATAGAACATGTATGGAATATATTTCTTCATCTAGAATAAATCCATGACTAAACTTGTGTGTACAAAATTCCAAGGCAATAGTACTTTATTATAGTGTATATATAATATGGTGATGTAATAAATATTATATCAGATTTTTATTTTTTGTTTATGTTAATTCTTGCATCCGTCAATGTCCATCAAGAAAATTAATATTCTAATGTCAAGCACTTTCAAGTCCGACTTCATATTTGGGTCTGGTCAATTTCTTTTTTTTCTTTTTTCTCTGCGTGTCAAGAACCGTCTGTAAAGAAATTTTTTTTTCTTTTTTTAAAAAAGAGTCAGAATTGGAATTCTAATTAATTTAGAAATGATGCAGTGGACTGCGAATACCTTTTTGATTAATTTTTGTCAATTTAAAAGATTAAAATTTAATATTTTATTATTGTTGGCAAAATAATTAAGTCGTTTTGCTTATTTAGTGCAAAAAAAATTAAGGTGGTAAATGATAAAAAATTAACTTTTGTGCAAATTTTGTATCATAAATAAATTCGAAAGGTAAATTTAACGTTTCTTTTAAAAATGTAATTCACTGATAATAATATCAAGAATTACAAAATATTCGTATAGACCAGACATAGAACGATAACTGATAGAATCCGCTGATCTTTTAATGAAACAAATAAATTCATATTTTTTTTTTTAAATACTGAAATTAAAAATTAAAAATATATAATATTAGATTTTTTAGTTTGGAGTTGATCTTGATAAAAAATATAAATCTCTATAGCAGTAACTAGTCCATTAATTAATTTGAATAATAAAATAATAATGACAAATAAAGTTAAGTTTTCGCAATTATCCGTTAATAGCATTAATGGAGGAATATGTTGTACTATCCGGCTCTATAATCGAAGATCCGTACCTACAAATCAAGATGTAAAATCTCTAACCAAATAAAGTCAGTGGAAGGCACGGTAGTGGTAGATCCAAACTAAAATTAGGGCTAAAAGACTAGAGAGAGAGAAATTGTAGGATGGTTTAAGAAGAAAATAATCTCTAACTATGATTGATATATTTTATTATTTTTTATTATTATTTGAAAAGAAGTAATCCTTAAAATATGTGACAATGAAAGATGAATATATACTATGCATAATTTAGGAAATAAAAATCAGTACTGTGTAGTACTATAGTTTATTGATATCTAGCTTTAGAATATACCTCTATATATTATATACATGTCCTCAACACCAAAATCTTATAAAGGCTTTAGAAAGGGGATACGATACTTAATTACTGCCATCACTTTTTATATTATTATTATTATTTTCATTGTCATTTTCGTGGTCGTTTTTAAATCCATTTAGAGTTTGTAGGACTTAATCCTCAATCAACATATTCTGATTATTAATAATTGAAATAACATATATACAATTTTCTATATGAAAATAATCTTAACAAAAGGATTAGTATTTCATTAATATCTAATTCTTTTTCAAATCACATGATAAAATAACTAAAAGGTGTTAATTGGAGTGATAAGCGACTTCAATTCTTCTAAGTGTGCGAACACAAGATCAATTTTAAGAGTACACTTTATTACAAAGCCAAAAACTTTCATGCTCTGCCGAGGAGATGGCACTTCCTAATTATAGAAAAAAAAAAATTAATGATAAAAAATTCATACGTTCATAAAAACACAAAAGATCTTTTTTTATTTTAACCTTTAAATGGTAAATTTTTTCAATTTTACCTCCCTCTTGAATTTTTTTTAGACCAGACTCTCCATTTATAAAATAAATAAATAAATGAAGTTTTTCTCTAGTATCTTGCATGAGGGGGTGCATGTGCTGGTGCAGCTTACACCACTCTGCAAGCTGCAGTTAATCATCTTCTTGGTCAAGAAAATCATTAAAAAGAAAAGAAAAAAAAAAAAAAAGTGGCATATGAGAATTAATTCTTGAATCAAAGAACACTTGTACTTATCAGTGTTAAAAACTCAGTTTGGCAGTACAAGAAAAAAGAAAGTGCTTTCAAGAACTTATATTCTTGAAATAAAAGACAAGAAATAAAAAGAGATGAGAAAGGGTAAGCTTTAGTCTGTTATCTTTGACTCACATAAATATTTAAATTTGCAATATTTTTTCAATGAAAAAATCATATTAATATTAACTTCAAATATATATTCATTTCAAATGACTATTTAAATAATTAAAAAAAATTATAAATTTAGCTTCCCAGTGAGTGAGATGAAAATTAATATTAAAATAAATTCATATCGAAATAGTGATAAAATATTTTATTATTTTTCATATATCTATTTGAAAGGTGATGCATGAATTTTAAAAGAACCTATAAATTCTAATATATTTATTATTTAATCTTGAAATGAAATTATATATATATTCAAGTCTGTTTATGTGTATATTTAATTAGGGATTCGTTTGACATTGTTGAAAGATAAGTAAGTAAGAAGCAAAGCTTTATTAGATTCTATATGATGTGCCTCATTTTTTTATAACATAATTTGTAATTATCATTATACCAAGTATTCAACAGAAAAGGTTTTCTTTTGAAAAAAAAGGAAGGGTTTCAATAAAGAGCTGCCGCGATGATTGTACGGATTTCTATTTTCATACTATCCCCATCTGCCTTTGTTTTATCATTTCAAATTTTTATAGTATAATTAAAGAATCAATTAATCAAATCACAGAAATTATAAACAAATTAAATATTTCTTAATTTGACTAAATACCTTTTATTTCTTATTACTCACATTAAAGATTGTATATTATTATTTTTTAAAATATTTTATATTATTTATTATTTATATATATTTATGAATGTGTATCATTAAAGTAAATAATTAAATCAAAAAATACCGAACTTACCTATCTTTTTATCAGCAATTTATAATATATATAATAAACTTTTGAAATTAAATAAGAAAAACAATATAAAAAATTATATATTAATGAGTGATTACGTATAACGCGTGTTGTGAAATATTAGCTATTGATAAATGTATTTTATTAATGCTAACTCTAATTATATCAACATATCATATTAATTCAATAATGATATCAAAATAGGACATGATTCAGAGAACACAATTTGCCTAAAATATAAAATTAACGAATGAATTGTGATTAAATGGGATCTTATCACAAATAGAGTACCCGTATGTGACATGACTCAAAAACAAGTCACACACGAGTTGACTTATGAATCTTTTTGACTTTTTAAATCAAAGTTAAAAAGTAATTTTATATGAAAAATGTATACACACACATATAAACTCAATAAGATGAAAATGTGTCGTGTCCATATGATTCATTTAATTAAACACATTATGTGTTATGTTTATATAATCCGTTTAATTTTTATATTATGTTCAAGTTTTTATATTTTAATAAACGGGTGGTGTTCATAATCGACTTTAAACATATCAATACATCACGTTATCAACTTGACACAAATACATTTTAACACCTTCGAATATAAATACAATCCAGCGATGCATTTTCATTCTTCTTATTAGATAAATTTTAAATTAGAAAAGAAAAATTATTTAATACATCTTCAAATTTTTAAAAATGATAAATAAAAATTGAACCAAAGAACATATATATATATATGCACGCATACATTAGGATTTAAATTTATATTCTCATTCATATAAATAATCAGATCATTAAATTATTAAAATGAGCACGTTTAATAAATAACGATTATCTTAAATGAATTGAATTTCATATGATGCTAAAAAAATGGGTCGAGCTCAAACTCCAAGGAGGAGAGAGTTGTGCAAATCTTATGCATTGACTGCAAGACAACACTTACAAATTATCTTGCTAGTCATTTCTATATATTAATTTAAAGGAAAACGAATATTAAATGGAATCATAATATAGATATTTTAATCCAACATTAAGGAATTAATTAAAGTAATAACCTTTTTTTATTAATTTAATTCTGAGTGGGGTTAAAATTTAAGACATTGGGACTGTAAGTAATCTGTAAATTAACACTGTTAATACATTAATAGAATGAAATGAGGGTATATATGGGTTTTGAAAGTCCATTGGAGCATAAATAAAGGTACTAATGGCTTATAAAATAAAAATGAACAAGAGAGAGAGAGATGGGCAGCTTCTCTTTACCTTCCAATGGAAGCTCCTCAATGTGACCATTCGATGAAAAGCACAAAAGCAAAGATTAATTGATAGCATCTGCACTACTTACATACCTCTATAATTCCAAAATAATAAAATTTAAGGGAAAAAAAAAAAAAAAAAAAACTAAGGTACTAATGGCTTATAAAAATAAAAAAAGAACAAGAATAGAGAGATGGCAGGCGTCTCTTTACCTTCCAATGGGAAGCTCCTCAATGTGACCATTCGATGAAAAGCACAAAAGCAAAGATTAATTGATAGCATTCTGCACTACTTACAACCTGCTATAATTCCAAAATAATAAAATTTAAGGGAAAAAAAAAAAAAAAAAAAAAACTCTGAAAGGCAGAGGGGACTGCGGTGCGGCCCCCTTCTGACTTTCCACTAACAATATTCGAAAACACATAAAACAAATGAAAAGTGAGATTCCAATCAAATTACATCCCCACACTCACTCCCCTATTCTGGGAATCAATATTCCTTTGATTTCTTTCCTCTTTCTCTTTCTCTCTCTTCTACTAAAGCTCCTTCCACCTGCTGCTACCACCAAACACTAAACATTCAAAACCTCCTGTTATTTATATTTTTTTCATATCTTTTCTTTTAAAACTTCCCCTTCTGTAATTTATATTTAATTAACAACAACAAACAACAACAACAAATGTTAAAAAAAAAATTAATTATTATATATGTTTCAAACACTTTGATTAATTAATCCCCAAAAAAAACTATATATATTCTCATTCCTAACCCCATTGTTTAAATTAAAACTAATTAATTTAAGTTCTTTAATCATGTAATTGCTTCAACTTATACAAAAACAAATTAGCCAACCTTCTGCACCCATTTTGCCTGCAGTACCTATGAATTACTTCTTGTCAACTTTGCACAATTATATATATGGTTCTATCTTCTAACAATGCATGGGATTGCTCTGTGTTTCCTCATCTTCTCTTCAATTAATTATAATTGATGCATCATCTTATCTTCCCAACTTGGCTAGGGTGTTTCGATTAAGATCATTTCATCACGAACATTTCGATAACTAGTTATCAGCCAGAATCTGTCCTTTAGCTCCGATCGGGCGTATGTGAATTTCAACCCCTTAAATGAATATCTTACCTATCTATGTTCCTCCAAATGTAGCGGCGTCCAAAATCTACTGTTGTCTCATGAGTTACATGGAAAACAAGATACTTGAAACTGGAACCAAACACAGCCCTCGACTCCTAACGATCTTGGTTTTCTGTCCGTCGGAATCCTGTGTAACTGAAAACCTAAATACACCCAAATTAATTTGCAATTATAATTAATCCATAATTAGTTTTTGTCTCTATTCTTGGTATATTCAAGATAAAACTCTTCCAACGCTGGCGATTCGATTTTCAAACATTACTACCTACCTATTATCAATAATAAAACAGCATATTGTACCTGCTGCTGTTGCGTTGTTGTATGGGAGCTCCGCCTTTCATGTATGGAGTGCTCAAAACCTTAAGTAATAAACTATATAATATTAGAAATGGAATAATTAAAATTTGATAAATCAATATATAATTAATTAATGATGCAGAACTTACAGAGACTTGTTCATGGAGGAATTTGAGGTAATCAATAGCTTCAGAAAAGCACTGAAGCTTATCAGTCCTGAAACAACAACATATAATAACATAATCAATGATCATTAAAATTTGAAAAAAATAAAATTAAAAAGGAAACAAAAATCAGAACCTTAGATATTACCTTTCCAAAAGGTGAAAACCAATTGTCTGTAGTGCAAGTGATTCTGTCCCCATCATTCTCTTTTCTCACCCTAATTAAACCATATATCAAGAATTCTCATCTAGTGTCTATTAAATAATCATTAATCTCTATGAGAACAAAAACAAAAAATCTATATATTTCTAATAAATACATGTTATTCATACAGAGGCAAGAAGGATATAAAATTCATATATCACACTCTGACAGTTTGCGGATTAACGTTCTTTTTATATTATTATTATTGTATATGACCTTAAAAGCTGGCACTGGCATGGTGTGCATTCCGGGGCCTTTTGTTGTTGGTGCTTCGCTTCCACTTTTTTTCACTACTGACTTGAAGAATCTCGTTATCTTCTATATTATATTTCTCTTAGTTAAAAATTATTGGTGACACCATGATAAGAGCCAGTATTAATAATTATGACAATATACCCTAATTTCATAATTAATTAGCAATTCAAGAATAAGGATATATAATAGATACTTACCTTTTGGTTTTTCTTCAAAAAATTAGAATACAGGAAATGCGGTTGAAGGGCAAGAAGAGGAAGAAATTAGAAAACGAAACACAGTCCATGGAATTACTTGCAGAGGCCAGTCCCAAAAATGGTGTGCGTTATTGGAAAAATGCCAGATTGGCTATGGGGGACTGTTTTGGAGGTGAAATTTCTCAAGAAAGTAGTTACTTTAGGACCAAGAAGGAACCTAACCTCTATCGTTAACTACTAATCCCGTATAATTAGTAGCCAGATAGAACCCATACTGATAGAACTATTTATAAGAAGATTGTGTTTGGCTGTGTTGTGGTATGTATAGAATAATAATTGCAGGGGTGAAGTAATAGCCCCTGACATAGTTGAAGGACTCCATATCCATTTGAAAACCTGATGATTTGTAATCTTGACATGTTACTGTACTGTCACTTGAGCTTCCACCGTGAGGACTAAACTGAGTGTTTGATGATCAAAGAAAAGCCATCTCTGCTTATTTGCTTGTATTCATTAATGCGGATTCACTTCCAGTACTAAAAACTCTCTCCCTCCATTCTTTGCTGATTAATTTTCTTGCAAACACGAACGGGAAAAGCTAGTTTCTGTCTTATTATCGGCCGCCGCGACTGTAATAAGAGAGAAAATTAGCAGGAATAGGGGTTTTTTTTTTCTGTCTCTTTTTAAGTTTTTGATCTTTAAATATAGCGAGCAGAAAATAAAATACTTACAGTAAAGCTTGCATTCCAATCAATAGGGTTGATGAATGAAAGGGCCCCAAACCCAATCATATGTAAATTCAGAAAGAAGAATCTTGAGCTGTTGTTGGATTAAGCTTATGGTATGATCATGAAAAACATAGAACTATTCAGAGACGGAAGCAGACTCCACAGAAAGACCTTGTTTTAACATCTACCATTTCTGATGGCCAAGGCGAAGCTGTTGAAAGTACTATTAAGACAGAAGAAGAAGAAGAAAGAGCCACTATTCAAATTCTATTTCTTTTGAAAGATATCCCACCAGTTTGTGCTTGTGTTATACTCATATCCGCCATGGGCAGGCAGGAGCTTATGCTTTCTTGCTTTGTGATTTTCCCTTTGCCTTTTTTGTGTTACATAAAAATGTAGGAAAAACGGGTCGCTGCATCTTGTGGCATATTATAGTGGTAAAGAACGGGCATTTGGGTTTCTTCTGGTTAACCGGAGAAGTTAAAGTTATGGTAGTTGACATTTCTAGTGTAATAAGTTGAGTGAGTAGACAAAAGCAAAGGTCATTTTGAAATTGAATTTCCTTCTTTTTTTTAAAAAAAAAATTGTTTTAGCAAATTGCATTTTTTTTTCCTTGTTCCTTAATTATTTTAGTGTGGTTTTTTTTTTAAATTTTTGGTAAATGTATAAATGTCTGAAACTTTTTTTTTGTTTGGGGTGTTGAGGCTTGCTTGCCTGGGTTTTTCTTTTAGCGAATCAATGATTTAAACAAAGAAAAGAAATGATAATTGTTAATTTCATAAAGCGGTTTTGCATATGACCCAATTTCCAAAGCCTTGCCAGGTTAGCATCCAATTGTATGTGGTTTCAATTTGGCTTATTTAGGGGTGAGGATTCGGTTAATAAAACCGAATTTAGCTCCAGGTTGATTTGTTTTATATTGATACTAAAATGGTATAATAATTAATTTCAAAATCAAATTAAATTATTTTTGGTAGTTAGATTCGATATTTCAAATCAAATTAGTTATTGAAATTAGTGCCTGGATTTTTTTGATTTTTTCTATTTGATGCTTGACTGAAAATTTTCCAATTAAGTGTCCTACAATAATTTAAAAAATGCATTCCATGATACTTTCAAGCACGACATTTGTCACCGGATTTCTTGCCTCCACAAATGTGGACCCACTTTTAATGATGTCGCACACAAAACAAGTACAAAAAACAAAATAACACGTTGGATTCCACGTATATATTGATTTCATGGAATCTCAAAAAATACCCTAATTTATTTCCCCTAACATGCTCTAGCACATTTTTAGGGTAAAATTTTTGTCCTGACAAAAATAGAGAAACGCAGAAGAGGATTTCCATGGCCTTAAATCGCATCTTGTAGTGGTGGAAAGGGATTAGGATGCCCAAGTGAGAACTTCATGGACAGAATGGAATCCTGGAAGGCAATTTGTGGCTTATGAGAACCTTTTCGATTGTAAGTATGCTTAGCTTGTTCTCCAAAATGTTGCATTTGAGATTTTTTATTTGCTGGATTGTTTGCATTTTTTGTGATTGTGTTTGTTATTATTTCAGCTTGGTACTACTTGGCGAAATTCTTTTGGCCCCAACCAAAAAGCTTGTAGGGATGTGGAGGAAAAATAAAGTTGAACCTCCTTTATGAACAGATAAAGTGATGGATTCCGATAAAATGGGGGGGAAAACATTATTTACCAAGCGTCACATCTTTAGGTTAGTAAACCTACTTATTTAATTTTGCCAAAATTGTGTTCCTTTTGAATTTTAGGTTTGCCTGTTTGAAACTTTGTTTATTGAAGGTTGCAGGCTCGAACAGTGTTGAAGCAAAATGCCATGCTTTAAAGAGAAAGGCAAAATTGCAGCAAAGCTTGCCAACTCAGAAATGATGAAGTCAGCAGCAACGTTTTCCAGTAAGAGGAAGAGAATACCAGGTTTCAAGCACAACAGAAATTGGAGGAACAACAAACATAATTCTTACCAACTTAGGAATCTGGCACCAACAACAGTAGCAGCAAGTTGACTGTTGATCTGTAGTGGACTTTTTATTATTATTATTTTTTACAATGTAATTCGTGCTACACGAGGTGTTTGTGGCGCATTATTTTGTAATTCTGCAGACAAATCAATACTGCGTGTTAATTTCTGTTTACTACGATTTTATATTTTTCGTGTCATTTCATTGTGATCATGGATCTGATATTTAGTATTGAAGGTTTCACTAACGGTTTGCTTCTTTCCCGTTTAAGTGTGTAGACTATCAACCTTGCGTCAATGATTGAGCGGTTTTTGTTCTTGTATCCAAATTCAGCGTAGTACTAATTGAGGGAGTTTGTAGCAATTTGTTTATTCGTTTCATGCGTATTTTTGTTAATTGAATTGTATGCAAGGAATAGAATTACTATAGTGTATTGAGACCTGTGAGTAATTTGCTCTTTTTAAGCTTTGTTAAACATCTACTTAGGCAACGATGGTAATGGTGTTTGAGCACTATTGTGCTCTGGCTTTTCATATGGATTGGGAATATGCAAATTACAAATAACCATATGGACAGAATTCTTTTAGGCATTTTATCAATTGAACCATGAGTGTTTAAGGCTTGTTGCTTTCATTCCAAATGCAAATCAGTTCAATAACTATGATGTGGACGTTCATATCAGGCAGTTCGTTTTGTTCATCAAGATGGTTCTGCACGAGTCGTGGTGGTTACAGCGATGCTTCGTGTTGGTTCACCTATGGTGACTTAATAAGATCATATCTAAAACGATGTACAGCTTGAAATGCGTGCATCATATTCATGCTGCCGTTCTTTTCCATTTCATCAACGATAACCTTCATTTTTATCCGAATATCATATATCGGTACAGGTGCCCTGTCACCTGAAATCGCCTTACTAATCTAAAACATCGCCAAATCCCTAATGTTCAAGTTATCAATAGTTTGCTTACAAAAAAAAAATCATCACTACACCCAGAACAACACCTGTCATCGCCTCCCATTTGATCAATTTTACTACAAAAAGCTTTATTACAAAGTCAGAATCACTTAAAAAGTGATAAAACGAGCCAAATAAGATTTTTTTTTGGGGACCCACCCCCACAAGCCAAAGCAGCCTTTCCTTCTCGGCCCATATTCTTTCCCTTTTCCCCTTTTTTTTTTTTTCCTTTTTTTTGGTGTTTTTTTTTTTTTTTTTTTTTTTTTTTTT